TGTGTGTGTCTAAGTGGTGTAGCAGGTCACTGACCATTTCCCCCTGGATTATGTGGACTTCATTCTGCTCCCTGACCCTGTCTTCCATCTCAGGGGGCTGGGTACCCTGAGAACAACTGGTCTGACTATTAAAGACTGAGGCAAAATGGGCATTAAGTACATCAGCCTTTTCCTCAGCCTTTGTCACTATGTTTCCTCCCACATCCAATAAATGATGGAGATTTTCCTGAGCCCTCCTTTCTTTGCTATTTATAGAATTTAATTTATAGAAATTAATTTATAGAATATAATTTATAGAAACATTTTTGATTGTCTTTTATGGCAGCAACCTGATTAAGTTCTAGTTGGGTTTTGTCCCTTCTAACTTTCTAATTTTGATGGTTTCTAACACATCAATAATCCTTGTGTCTTTGCTGACACATGGTTCTCCATCTGTTGCTTCCCCTGAGACAGTAGACCAAAGGACCTTGCTAGCACACCATCCCTCAGACATTGGTGTGCTGCCCCCCAGGCTTGTCTCTAGTGGATCTGATTAGTGAGATGACCTTGCTACCTTTTTTTTGTTCTATTTTTACTTACATGGCTGAGTAAGAAAGACCTTGTTTCTTACTGAGGTCTGCCTTGACTTTTCATACTATCCTTTTTATTATAGTTTCCAAGATCCAAGGTAGTGATCCCTCTAGCAGGCTTGTTTTCATTCCAAGCATCTCTTGTCACATGAGTATTCTTTTTTTTATTCCTTTTTTTTTTTTTCTTGTGGGTGTAAGCTCCAGTTGCCATTTGAGAACAATATTGGTCTCACATCCTGTCTCATGTCTGCATTAATGTCTCGCATACTATAAGAAACGGAAGAGCAATTCAAATCATACTGAGGTCAACACATTCTGGGTGACCAACTGAAAATGCCACTTGGGCTCTCTTAACTTGGGGTCACCCATGTAAGCATCTGCACTTGAGGTACCTTCTGCTGAATGGAATGTCGCCCTATCTCGCCAGTGCTTTTATCACTGGCACTTGATCGTCCTGGCTATTGATCATAGGAAAAAAAGTTAAATTCAGCAAATGGTTCAAATCATACAGGTGCCTGTGTTATAGACAGTTGGTTATTAGCAACATGTGATATTACTGTTTCCTTTTAAGTGTTTCTGCTGTGGTGCTTAGTTGTTAGTTAATTTTTCCATGCTAGTAGACAGTGCTGTGTGACTCACTTGCATTGCTGTCACGTGTTCTCCATTCTCCCAGCAGATCCTCATGTAATTAGAAATGATGCAAAATTGTAGTCATCAATTTGTTAAAATATGAATTTAGGATTGGCATTCTGGCCTGTCTTCATTTTCTGAGGGGCTTAGCTTTCAGTATAAAACAGAATTTTCCAGATTACTATAGCTGGTAAGATTTTATGCTGTGAGTGACTGATTACTTTGAGGGTAAATTTCAGATGAATTCTGTCAACGGTGATAAATTGCTTATTGTTCATTGCAGCCTACCAATCAAGTTAAGCTAATGCAACTACAACATGCTGCAGTTTTATTAAGGATACCAGTGAGGCTTTTGCAGATTATTTTAAATTATGCCATAGTCCTGTCAGGATGTATTCCAATGTAGTTTTTCTAAAATAGTTAATAAAACAAAATCTGTGTACATCTAGACCACCAAAATATTTAAAATGTAAAGCTTGCATTCTTTTAACTCCTCAACTAGACATGCATTTAAATTATATGCTTATTTTGTACATTTTCTGATTACTTAGAATATGTTCTCCAAAAGCTTATCTGAAATGAATATATAAACAGTGTACAGAATGTGTCTTTTTAAATGTGTGCCTTTATCAGTATGCTATCACACTGTCATGGTTTAAACCCAGACGGTAACTCAGTACCATGCAGCTGTTCACTCACCCTCCCCTCTTCCCCCCTCCGGGCAGGATGGGGAGAATTGAAAGAATGTAAATCCCACGGGTTGAGATAAGAACAGTTTAGTAACTAAAATAAAGTAAATACAGTGATAATTGAAGGCATAGCAATAACAATAATAGGAAACGAGAAGAAATGAAAGCTCAGAAAACCCAGGTGATGCACAGTGCAATTGCTTACCACTCGCCAACCAATACCCAGCCTGACCCAAACAGCAATCTGGGCCTTCTGGGTAACTCCCCCCAGTTTATATACTGGGCATGACGTACTGTGGTATGGAATACCCCTTTGGCCAGTTTGGGTCAGGTGTCCTGTCTCTGCTTCCTCACGGCTTCTTGTGTCCCTCCTCACTGGCAGAGCATGAGAGACGGAAAAGTCCTTGATCAGGGTAAGCACTACTTAGCAAAAACTAATAACATCAGTGTGTTTTCAGCATTGCTCCTTGACTGAAGCCAAAACGCAGCACCGCACCAGCTACTAGGTAGAAAAATAAGTGTTACAGCTGAAACCAGAACACACATAATTGAACTTGGCAAACTTTTAGAAATTTTCTACTTTGGCTTTTCTATTTTATAATAAAAATCCTGTCTTAAAATTAATGCATATCTTTTACATTGGTTCATAAACTTCACAGTCAAAACATTCTTACAGCATCTCTCTCTCTAATTATTATTTTTAAATTAAATGTTTTTAAGGAACCAGTAAGAACAAGGCAGCACTCTCCAGGTCAGCTGAATATGGTATTTTTTTACCCCTTCAGTAGAGAACTGTAAAAGCATTTTATGACTATTTAAGGAGTTTTACAGCAATAAATTGTAGGACTGCCCTCTTCATCCTTTGTTACCTTCAGATCTCTCGTGAATCACAGTTCAGCTGACTCAGAAGTCATGTTAAATGAGAGGTTTCTAAAGCCTTTTTTTTTTAACAGGCAATGGAAAGAAGAAAAACCTTTCTTCTCAATTTACTTTTTGAATGTCAGTGTTCTTACACATTTATTTACACTTTTCTTACCTTTCTGATAAACACCTTTGGTAAGTAAGAGGTACTGTCTCAAGTTTTTGTTGTTAAAACAGATTTCATCAGTGGTGCAGTGCAGAGAGATAGGACCATTTCTGTGTCTTGCAAATAGGCAGTCATTTGTAGGAGCCCTAGAAAGCTATAGAAGAATTTCTGAAAGTTATAGTTCTGTATAATTTCTATAAAATTATGATAACATAATTTGTAGTTCTAGATTTTTCTTGCTTTAGGGAAGGTTATCTCTTCTTGGTACTTGTATAGAAATTTTTACTTCAAACACTCTTTAATGATGGAAGTGCTTTGATACAAAGTACTCTTAAGATGGTAGGATCGTATTCATTGTGCTTTGCCTATTTGCCATTTCTCTTTATTGTTTTGTCACCCTCTTATGGATTTTAACAAGTTAGACTCACTAGGGCATGATACTGTCATACTAGAAGTGACTTCTGGGTTAATTATTTTTCTGAGTTTAAGACACTGATGTGTGTACTTAATACTTCAAAGTTCTGTCATAGAGAGCAGTGGCCCAATAAAGAGCAGTGATTCTTGGGTGTGTGTCAGTTGTGTATCACTAAATTTAGCACACATTCTGAACCCATGTAAGGATTTTCTGCTTGCTGTTATTGACAGGTAGCCCTGAGTTTTTGATATCACAATTTCTGAAAAATATTACTTTCTGCAGCATAACACACAGGGTTTGAAAGATCTTCTTCCTAACAGTAAGGTCTAGGAACTACTGAGTCCTTATTGAATTTTCAGCTCTGAGAAAATTAGTTGTTTATGCTCTCAAGCTCACTTTAGTTGCCAAGTTGATTTTTTTATTTTAATCCCCATTCTGAACAGCTTTTCTGTGGCATTTCTTTTCATTTTGTATCAGTAAGTGTCCTGAAATAAATTAAAACCTTGAATTCACTCCAAGGCTACTACTTATATTTAATAAGTTGTATGCCCTTGCACAGGAAAGGGAAAATTTTGACCAAAAGTTACATCCATCCTCTGTACTGATAAAAGTATCTTGACAGCCTATTTATAAATTACAGTATTGAGCATATGTACAAAGAATTTAATGTCTGTGTTTATTGGTTTATGCTGTAATTTGCATAGTGCAATTTCTTATAACACATTACATATTTTTAACATGCAAACATTAAAATGTTTTCCTCATATGTATTCTGCTAATGCAAATGACCTATGCAATATGAAAGACTATTCATTTTAACAAAAAGAATCAGTTACTACTTATTTTCTGTATGTTTTTGCTATAAATTAATACCAGAACTGAGAATGATTTAACAAAGGAACAGATTTAGCCTTTTTCGGAAGTGATTTGATTTTGAGGAGTGGGATAGAGGAAAATGTTGTTTAATGTGATTTAAAAACTCATCCATTATTTTAAGGGAGTTTTTTTGGTGTTTAAATGTATTTAAACGTTCTTATCCAGCTCTTACTTTCACCTCTCAAGTGTTATTTTGCCTGTCTTGAATGATAGAATAGTTAGGGTTGGAAAGGACCATAAGATCATCTAGTTCCAGCCCTCTTGCCATGGCCAGGGCCACCAAATGAAACAGAGTACAGCGACAGTACTTTGACAATGAAAGGCTCTCAGGTAACACATTAGCTTCTACATGTGCTATCCCTGTCCATGTGATTTGCAGCAGCTTGAAGTATTTCCTTCTGAGCCTTTTTGCACAGCTTAACGTTCCCCTCGCATGATCAAAAAGAAATAACCATGATAAATGAGCATTGGCTAAGCATGTTCAAGATAAGAATTTTTATTTGAGTTTAAAATTGTTCTGTTTCCTGTTTCCCTTTGTTCTTAAGGGAATAGGACTTGTTTTAATACAAGGGTTGTAAATGTCAGAACTCTTCAGAACTTGCATTTTTTCAGTTCCTAGTTTTACCTGAGTTTTGCATCACATGTTTAGCATAAACTGAATTACTGAATTATTTCATTCTTCTAATAGTTGCACAACATGAGGCATTTAAAGCCTTTTAAATGTATCTAATAGCTGTTTTACTTTTCCCTGCACTGAGCTCTGTAATACAGATTTTAATTGTTTTCTTTTACAGGTTCTGTACAGCCTTTCCTGGAAGCCTGCAGTAATGAATCCTTCTTCCGAACTTGCTCTCTTCTGCTTCGAAGTTCTAAGCTAGAAACTCAGATTTTGGAAAAGATCTGTGTGATACTGCAAAAACTCTCCAGAATAAAGTAATGCTCTGTTACTATTATTCTGTTAGTTATTATTAGATCAGCAAACTCGAAGACTTTTGTCTTTCTCTTTTTCCAAAAACTCATCTCTCTTTTGCTGTTTATTTGCTCCACCACAGACAATGCTGGACCTTCTCTGTTAGCAGTTGGGGTTGGAATTAGGTGGTCTTTAAGGTCCCTTCCAACACAAACCATTCTATAACTTACATTGGAGAGCTACTAAAAGTAAAATTAAAAATTTTTTATTTATTGTTTTTAGAAACTTATTTCACATGAGTGAAACCCTATCATAGCCTTTCCCTGATCTTTCATTATACATGTTCACTTACTCAAGTGAAATTATATTTTTTGGTGATTTTTGACAAGATTTCTCTCACCATGCATTGGTAAGCTTCTGCTTAGAGACATTATATGCAATGTAGAAGACTTATATGAAAATCCCAATATAATGCACATTTTTCTTCATTAAAAATATAATTTTTAATGTTTTAATAATTTTTAATATTAAAAATA